TAATACTGAGTAAGAGTACTCTAGCTTAGGGCTGGTAAGTGATTGGATTCCAGACTGAGTAAGAGTACTCTAGCTTAGGGCGGATAAGTGATTGGGTTCCAGACTGAACAAGAGTATTCTTGCTTATGGTGGATAAGTGATTTGGATCAGCACTGCGCAAGAGTACTCTAGCTTAATGTGGATAAGTGATTGGGATCCAGACTGGACAAGAGTACACTAGCGTAGGGCGGATAAGTGATTGGGATCCAGACTGAACAAGAGTACTCTAGCTAAGGGCGAATAAGTGATTTGGAACCAGACTAAACACGAATACTCTAGCTTAGGGTGGATAAGTGATTGGGATCAAGACTAACCTGATGTTCAGTGGTTGTCGTTTGTTAATGTGGTTCATAAGTGTTTCTCGTTTCTCGTTTTTTATATAGATTAGACCGTTGGTTTTCCTGTTTGAATGGTTTAACACAATTCATTTTGGGGCCCTTTATAGCTTGCTGTTCGGTGTGAGCCATGGCTCCGTGTTGAAGGCCGTACTTTGACCTATAATGGTTTACTTTTACAAATTGTGACTTGGATGGAGAGTTGTCTCATTGGCACTCATACCACATCTTCTTATATCTATTTAGCAAGAGAACTCTAGCTGAGGGCGGATAAGTGATTGGGATCAGGACTGAGCAAGAGTACTCTACCTTAGGGTGGATAAGTGATTAGGATCAAGACTGAGTAAAAGTACTCTAGCTTAAGGCGCATAAGTGATTGGGATCAGGACTGAGCAAGAGTACTCTAGCTGAGGGTGGATAAGTGATTGGGATTAATACTGAGTAAGAGTACTCTAGCTTAGGGCTGGTAAGTGATTGGATTCCAGACTGAGTAAGAGTACTCTAGCTTAGGGCGGATAAGTGATTGGGTTCCAGACTGAACAAGAGTATTCTTGCTTATGGTGGATAAGTGATTTGGATCAGCACTGCGCAAGAGTACTCTAGCTTAATGTGGATAAGTGATTGGGATCCAGACTGGACAAGAGTACACTAGCGTAGGGCGGATAAGTGATTGGGATCCAGACTGAACAAGAGTACTCTAGCTAAGGGCGAATAAGTGATTTGGAACCAGACTAAACACGAATACTCTAGCTTAGGGTGGATAAGTGATTGGGATCCAGACTGAGTAAGAGTATTCTAGCATAGGGCGAATAAGTGATTGGGAACCAGACTGAACAAGAGTACTCTAGCTTAGGACGGATAAGTGATTGGGATCAATACTGAGAAAAAGTAATCTAGCTTAGGGCGGATAAGTGATTTGGATCCAGACTGAGTAATAGTACTCTAGCTTAGGGCGGATAAGTGATTGGGTTCCAGACTAAGCAAGAGTACTCTAGCTTAGGGCGTAGAAGTGATTGGGATCCAGACTGAGCAAGAGTACTCTAGCTTAGGGTGGATAAGTGTTTGGGTAGCAAGCGTACGATTGGGATCAATACTGAGCAAGAGTACTTTAGCTTAAGGCGGATAAGTGATTGGGATCCAGACTAAGCAAGAATACTCCAGCTTAGGGCGGATAAGTGATTGGTTTCCAGACTGGGCAAGCGTACTCTAGCTAAGGGCGGATGAGTGATTGGGATCAATACTGAGGAAGAGTACTTTAGCTTAGGGCATAATTTCAATTTCAATCTTTTTGAAAAATGTCACTAGTCTATTACAGACATCCAAGGCAGCTCGCCCTTAACAATTTCATTCTTTGATATTGATTCTGCAGTGTGTGGTTCAAGGCTGAGCAGGCGTACTCTACCTTAGGGCAGATAAGTGATTGGGATCAAGACTTAGCAAGAGTACTCTAGCTTAGGGTGGATAAGTGATTGGGATCTAGACTGAGAAAAAGTAATCTAGCTTAGAGCGGATAAGTGATTGAGATCCAGACTGAGAAAGAGTACTCTTGCTTAGGGCGGATACATGATTGGGTTCCATACTGAGGAAGCTTAGAGTACTCTAGCTTAAGGCGGATAAGTGATTGGGATCCAGACTGAGTAAGAGTACTCTAGCTTAAGGCGGATAAGTGATTGGGATCCAGACTGAGTAAGAGTACTCTAGCTTAAGGCGGATAAGTGATTGGGATCCAGACTGAGTAAGAGTACTCTAGCTTAAGGCGGATAAGTGATTGGGATCCAGACTGAGTAAGAGTACTCTAGCTTAAGGCGGATAAGTGATTGGGATCCAGACTGAGTAAGAGTACTCTAGCTTAAGGCGGATAAGTGATTGGGATCCAGACTGAGTAAGAGTATTCTAGCATAGGGCGAATAAGTGATTGGGAACCAGACTGAACAAGAGTACTCTAGCTTAAGGCGGATAAGTGATTGGGATCCAGACTGAGTAAGAGTATTCTAGCTTAAGGCGGATAAGTGATTGGGATCCAGACTGAGTAAGAGTACTCTAGCTTAAGGCGGATAAGTGATTGGTGTCCAGACTGAGCAAGAGTACTCTAGCTTAAGGCGGATAAGTGATTGGGATCCAGACTGAGTAAGAGTATTCTAGCTTAAGGCGGATAAGTGATTGGGATCAGGACTGAGTAAGAGTACTCTAGCTTAGGGCGGATAAGTGATTGGGATCAGGACTGAGCAAGAGTACTCTAGCTTAGGGCGGATAAGTGATTGGGATCCAGACTGAGCAAGAGTACTATAGCTTAAGTTGGAAAAGTGATTGGGATCAAGACTGAGTAAGAGTACTTTGGGATGCCTGGCTCTTGATATCTGGTTTGATGTTTTGTGATTTCGTTTAGATAATAGAAATAATGAAAATCATTATACATTAAAGAGAGCCGATATTCGACGTCAGTTGTTATCTTTCGTCAGAGGTTGTCTTTTATTATTTGGAGAATTGAGTGCTGAAGAAAGAACTTTATTAACGTCATGTTGTATCTTTTACTAATTGGAGAATTGAGTGCTTAAGGAAGATCTTTGTTGTCTTAATGTTGTATCATTTATTAATTGGAGAATTGAGTGCTGAAGGAAGATCTTTGTTGTCTTTGTTTTGTATCTTTTATTAATTGGAGAATTGAGTGCTGAAGGAAGATCTTTGTTGTCTTTATGTTGTATCTTTTATCAATTGGAGAATTGAGTGCTGAAGGAAGATCTTTGTTGTCTTTATGTTGCATCTTTTATCAATTGGAGAATTGAGTGCTGAAGGAAGATATTTGTTGTCTTTATGTTGTATCTTTTATTAATTGGAAAATTAAGTGCTGAAGGAAGATCTTTGCTGTCTTCGTGTTGTATCTTTTATTAATTGGAGAATTGAGTGCTGAAGGAAGATATTTGTTGTCTTTATGTTGTATCTTTTATTAATTAGATAATTAAGTGCTGAAGGAAGATCTTTGTTGTCTTCGTGTTGTATCTCTTATTAATTGGAGAATTGAGTGCTGAAGGAAGATATTTGTTGTCTTTATGTTGTATCTTTTATTAATTGGAGAATTAAGTGCTGAAGGAAGATCTTTGCTGTCTTCGTGTTGTATCTTTTATTAATTGGAGAATTGAGTGCTGAAGGAAGATATTTGTTGTCTTTATGTTGTATCTTTTATTAATTGGAGAATTGAGTGCTGAAGGAAGATCTTTGCTGTCGTCGTGTTGTATCTTTTATTAATTGGAGAATTAAGTGCTAAAAGATCTTTGCTGTCTTCGTGTTGTATCTTTTATTAATTGGAGAAATGAGTGCTGAAGGAAGATATTTGTTGTCTTTATGTTGTATCTTTTATTAATTAGATAATTAAGTGCTGAAGGAAGACCTTTGCTGTCTTCGTGTTGTATCTTTTATTAATTGTAGAATTGAGTGCTGAAGGAAGATATTTGTTGTCTTTATGTTGTATCTTTTATTAATTGGAGAATTAAGTGCTGAAGGAAGATCTTTGCTGTCTTCGTGTTGTATCTTTTATTAATTGGAGAATTGAGTGCTGAAGGAAGATATTTGTTGTCTTTATGTTGTATCTTTTATTAATTAGATAATTAAGTGCTGAAGGAAGATCTTTGCTGTCTTCGTGTTGTATCTTTTATTAATTGGAGAATTGAGTGCTGAAGGAAGATATTTGTTGTCTTTATGTTGTATCTTTTATTAATTGGAGAATTAAGTGCTGAAGGAAGATCTTTGCTGTCTTCGTGTTGTATCTTTTATTAATTGGAGAATTGAGTGCTGAAGGAAGATATTTGCTGTCTTTATGTTGTATCTTTTATTAATTAGATAATTAAGTGCTGAAGGAAGATCTTTGCTGTCTTCGTGTTGTATCTTTTATTAATAAGTTAATTAAGTGCTGAAGGAAGATCTTTGCTGTCTTCGTGTTGTATCTTTTAACCCACTTCTTCCATACCCGGTCAGCATTATTTGTATTTCTTTTGCACCTTTATCGGTTTTTGATAATAAAATATTGTATTGTTGTTATTGTCTCCGTTAAATGTTCACCATTTTTTTTTTAACTATTATAGAGATTTAGAGATTGTTATACTGCTTTTGTTTAAGGTTTAAGTATGTATATTAGCATATTCATGTCTTTGTTGGTGATTTGTGTCGTTGGGTTGGTGCGTCTTTGACGTATACCCCACATCTCCTTTTATTCTCCCTTATTTTCATAATTCCTTCAGAATTCGTCAACAACTAATGATGTCAAGCAACTTTAATACCAGGAATTATTAATTGTCATTAATTTGTATGCAATCTCTTATCTTTTCTATTTTTCGGGCGTTGGCTAATGAAATGTAATCGGATTTTGAAGTTAAATATAATTTTCTGTCTTAATTTGAAAGGCTTAACATATTGTTCATGTTGTTCAGCTTTAATCATATTGAATGAAAATAAAATGAATTGGTCAATATGTGTTAAAAATATTTAAATAAAAAGAATGAAATTGATAAAATTCATCACTCGGTCGTTAAAGGTGACAATTTTAGGCTAATAATTCAATTATTGTCGTTTTGAACAATGTTCATATCTGCAGAGGTAATAGTTTTTATGAAACCAATCGATTTACCTATGTTATACCACGTGACCGTAAATCATTACCACCTGTAAAGGTGTGTGAAATGTATTACACATAATTGACAGTTGAAATTGACCATGTTTGGGTAGGAGGAACGTAAACAGAAGAAGAAAAAAACATAATTTTCTATGTTCACAAGGAAGTTGAAGGATACAAGAAATTTGTTAATGAATGCATCTTTGACCTCCACACAGGTAAAATACCTAAGTGGACTGGGGCGTAAAGATTAAGGTCAGTGACGTTAATTCATTACCTATTTTACTTATGTTCACCGGTAGACAAGTGATCAAAAGATCATAATGGGAACATTCAAGATGAATAGGAATTCGGGTTATGATATTTATTTATGAGGATTTAAGTGAAAACTGTAAACATCAAAATGAGTCTTTTTAACTGGAAAAAGAATTTGGCAATAAGTGAAAAAGAACCTACATTTAAAGTTCGATATCTGGGGAATGTACAAACCGCTATGATGAAAGGAGATGGTTGTGTTGACAAGCCAGTAACAATTATCTGGAATAATTATACGCGAAGTTCACATCCTGGTTTGGAAATGAAGTTGACAATCACGAGTTCTGGACTCAGTGCCTACACCAAAGAGCAAGGGATCACTGAATACCGTGCTCATCGTATTTCATATTGTATTGCTCACCCAAAATACCCTAGATTATTTGTGTGGGTTTATAGACATGAAGGTAAGAAAATGAAAGTAGAACTACGATGTCATGCAGTTTTGTGCAAAACCGAGGCAAAGGCGAAGGCACTTGCAGTTCAATTACACGAGAAACTTAAATTTGCCTTAAAGGAATTTTGCAGAGAAAAAACACGGAAACAGAATTCACGGTTAGTGTTGCAAAGAACTAATTCATTACCTCAGTCCGGTGAAATTTTGCCTAAAAGGACTCAGTTTTTGAGCACAGGACAAAAATTCAAACCACCAATTTCAAAATCAAACACAGCACCAAAATTGGGAGACATATGGGAGGATCCAATTGATGAAGAATTAGCAGAAATCGACGAGGAAGATGACATGCTCGATGGCATTGAAGAAGAACCACAATCACCCACTGTTAGAGCTTTAGACTTGCCCATGGGGGGCAAGCCAATTGATGTTGATTCTCTTAGTAATCGTGTTATAGACCTAGAAATTGGAAACAATATAGACGAATTAAAAATGAATAGTGATGTACAATTTTGTTTAAACGGTGACTCAGACGATGAAAGTTCGGAGTCTGGTTTTCACGAGCAAGATCAAGAAGGGATCAAAGACAGTGTGAACACGATAGATAGTACAAGTCTAGAGGGCGAAGTATGTGAGAATCCGTCAGGGGAAGTTCTAGAAGAACGTACAGTGATGACATGTTTATAATCTTGTACAACTATGACAGGTAAGCCCCCTGGTCTTGTTTTATTTCCAAATTTTGTCGATATATTGACAAGACATCGTATTATATCATACTTTCAAAGAATACACTAAACACTTTTAACTCGGGGGACTCGTTAAAGCTAAAGCAAGGGCGACGTCGGTATACAAAAAATGTATGTGGCTAACATTTCTTCCTGAGTATGCATGAAATATTTGTACCTGGACATTAAGGAAACATTAATTAGTTGATCATCAATCAACTAATTTAAACCTTAACTACCCACTGTCTGTAGTCCAAAAATTATTCATGTAAATCAAATAACTTTAAGTGAGTTGGGGCCATTATACATGTCATTTAACGTATTGAAAAAGAATACCATTTTCTTTACTTGAATATACATTTCACGCTAGTTTTGGGCACATATTCAATGAAAGAGGTTGGCGTGCTCCCATTTTTTGTTGTATACATCTGTTCAGAAAATTACCTTAAATAAATCACCAACCCTATGAGACTTTAGCGGATGATGCCCAACCCTCGGATGATGCCCAACCCTCATGTCTTTCGTCACTACGGATATTATTCATCTAAACTGTAGTTTGTTAACATGTAAGACGTCTGTTGTAGTCGAGTATACTGATTGTTGTCTGTAATCTAAGAGTTGATTTCCAGTACAGGATCCACCAGGTTCCTCTTCACCAGACTCATAATTTAATTTATTTGCTATACTATTATTATTTCCGTGTCTTTTGGATAATTCTGCGCTATGATTATTGATTAATTGATTGTTGGTTGCTTAATGTCCGGTGGCAAATATTTCATGCATGTTCAGGACGACATATATAATCATTGAAGAATATCTCGTCGTTTATCCAGTGCTTGTCTAACCGATTTTTAAAGGCATTTATGGAGGGGGCTTTGGTTATTGTATCTGGCAGTTTATTCCAAGTTTTGGCTATTCTTACAGATAATGAGTGTTTTCGGATGTTTGTATGAAACCTTTGGTGAACCACTTTATTACTATTTGCTCTGCTACTAACTCTTTTTGCTAGTCATCTGTCAATTAAAAAAAAAGATTGCTTCCTTTTCATAGTAGCGATTTACGATTTTAAGTTTCATATCCCCTCTTATTCTCCTATATGATAGTGTAGGTAAGCCTATTTTTATGCCCCATTTATGGGCATTATGTTTTTCGGTTTGTGTGTTTGTTCGTCCGTCCGTTCGTCCGTCCGTCCGTCTGTCCCGCTTCAGGTTAAAGTTTTTGGTTAAAGTTTTTGGTCAAGGTAGTTTTTGATGAAGTTGAAATCCAATCAACTTGAAACTTAGTACAAATGTTCCCTATGATATGATCTTTCTAATTTTGATGCCATAATTAGAGTTTTGACCCCAATTTCACGGTCCACTGAACATAGAAAATGATAGTGCGAGTGGGGCATCCGTGTACTATGGACACATTCTTGTTTTTCAATCTCTCTGGTTAACTTAAATCTTTGAGGCCTGGTAGCTGTTTAGTTACCCTTCTATGAACTCCATCTATCTTGTTAATATGTTTTTTCTTGTATGGTGACGAGACCGAACTTGCGTTATCTAGGTGGGTTCTTATCATAGTTTGGTACAAAAATGTCATAGATGATCAACTGTTTTCCAGTACACGGATTGTAAGTGGTAGGGTTAATTTCCCCAGAATCTATTTCCCACTTGGGATATTTTCAAAAAGTCATTAAAATCTCCACGTGAATTCACAGAGTACTATAGCTCCATGTGTATTTTCAGGGTCTAACTACATGTTGGTTTATTTTTCAAGAAATGACCAAAATATACATGTCTGAAGATAGCTCAAAAACGCAATTTCGCCAAATTTGTCAAGTTTTGAGTTTTTAACCACAATCGTATAAGATAAACTTCTAATAGAAGTAAAGTTGTATTTCGGATACAAAGTAATTCGCATTGCTGAGAGACGGAGTTAAAGATGTCTTCGATACAAAAATAAGAACCTGTAAAATATGCAATTTTGTATAAGAACGTGTAAAATTTGCAATTTTGTATCAAAATGTATTCACCGTTAACTTGCGTGGAAGAAACTTTTCATTCAGTGTAAAATATGTAAAATTATTGAAAAATGTCATGTACATGTGTGTAATATAGACTGTTTTCCAGTTCCCATTGCATTTGGCATTTATAATTTGGTGATGATAGAGAAAGTAATACACCCTACTTCTTTATTACGTTTAACTGAAGTCTGTATATTTCTTACGACAATTTTATTAAGTGGAGAGCGAAAGTATACAAAAATGGATCTAAATTATACCAACATGTTTACATTTCTAAAGTTCATTTTAAATTTTTCCCTGAGCCACACCACAGACATGCGTGAATGTTTATATTTTACTGACATATTTTAAATTTATAAACATATTTCATATCGTTTATGTAAAGTTTCTATCAAAACAGGTTGTAACTGTGTCGGTTGATGTAAAATTTACAAGTGTTACCGTTTTTAAGAAAGATTTAATAATGAGAACCTAAAGCCCCATTCACGTGAACATCCTAATGCTTATAGGCATGTATATATGTACGTAGAAATACATATTTGTGTAAAACGTGCATTTTGTTCAGTGGTTGTCGTTTGTTGATGTGGTTCATAAGTGTTTCTCGTTTCTCGTTTTTTATATAGATTAGATCGCTGGTTTTCCTGTTTGAATGGTTTTACACTAGTCATTGTTGGGGCCCTTTATAGCTTGCTGTTCGGTGTGAGCCAAGGCTCCGTGTCAAAGGCCGTACTTTGACCTATAATGGTTTACTTTTATAAATTGTGACTTGGATGGAGAGTTGTCTCATTGGCACTCATACCACATCTTCTTATATCTATTTGACTGCAAATTGCCGCTAGCTTCGAAGTAGTGGGCTATACCTGTCCGTCGATCCGTTCGTCCGTCAGTCCGTCAATCAAGGTTTCCGGATGATTAATCAAATACCTTGTATCGGATTACAACCTATCTTGAATATATGGTCACATAGTATAAGAGGAAGATCTTAATTGCTTTTGAGCTTTAAACGTGCGGTGTAAACATCAAAATAACTAAATTTAAGACAATTTTTTTTCGGAACAAGACACACATGGAAACAGTAAGAAGGATCCCTCAGAAAAGTCGAATTTAGCCCTTTCCAGTGAGAGACCGGTTAATGAATTTTAAATGTATCGATAAAACTATATTGCCTTTTGATGGCCAAAGGGTATATTACGCAAATACACCCCTTGAAAAAAAAATCATAATATTATGCAAACATTTCATATTTCCATTTACATACATAGACAAATGTGCACATTTTACATTCATCCATTTAAACAGTGCTTTGCATGCTTTATTATTATCTGAAGATAAGTGTACATCATTTTCTTTATTTATAGTATGCTTCAAGTCAGTCGCACAAGTAATGAAACATTACAAAGTAACTTACAAATTCAGTAAACTCTTCCACATTCATCAGTTTTATTGAACCTGCTGTAATTCCATTGATTATGATGGAGTATAGTTTACGGAAGTTGTTAGAATCATTACACGATTTATATAAATTGCATATACATGTAACTGCTTTAGTGTGGGACATAATATAAACGGGATTTTGATACTAGAAGTAGGTAACGTTCGTGGTTGCTATTAATCGAAGAAACAAACATCATATGAAGGCCGGTGGGGCGGTTTATGGATTTTCATGAACAGTTTGAATTTCCTTAACTTTAAATTTTATTTTTTTTCCATTCCATGAAACCTGATCAGATTTTGATACGGTCCATATAGTTCGTAAAATTTAGCGGTAAAGAATGCGTCCTCAAGTCCTGCTTATAATATTATAATAGATACACAAATGTCATTTATATATATATATATATATATATATGTATATACTGCCGTAATGTGTTATTTGCTGTGAATAACTTGAACTTTTGTTACATTTATGTTTGTTTCTCTGCATCAGATACGAGGAGGTTTGTTAGAGCTCTTAAGCTCACAATCCTAGAGCATCGTCCCTTGGTACCTGTTGCAGCTAAACAATCAAATATATTTATACATTTCCAGCAAAAATATTAAAACAAATTAAATTAAAATAACTGCAAATTAAATCAATTGAGAGGACATTTGCCACATCTCTGGAGTAGCAATTCTTAAATACCTTTTTTGTTAAATTTACCATATAATATCACTCTATATCAACATTTCAGGTTTATTATATGAATGTCATGTAAAATACTGTATGTTGTAAAGATTTTATTTGTTATATGTGTGCCCCCTTGGGGACCTAATTTGGAAAATAAAATATCTTATCTTATATAATGAAAAAAATATGATTGATTTTAAAATCATATGTTACGACACAGAATAAGGTATGCAAACTTTTGATAATCTGATTGTGTGCATGATTTATGAGATTTAGACGTAATTACTGGAAGTTTGAAAATAATCAAATAAGTCTAATGTTATAAATGTGTATGTTGTAGGTCATAATATAAATAAGTTAAATTTATAAATTGCTATCGCGAAGTTCTCATGCTTTGGAGACATTTAGGGCTGAACAATAGTAATATAATTTTATTTGCAAATTACACACCTAATATGCATATGGGTCCTGAAAGAAAAAAACACAAAATATAACACAGTATTAACACACCAGTTAATAGATAATATTATGTTTAAAACTGGGTATAAAATAATGTTTATAACTATGTTTGAATAATATTCTGTTTAAAACCAGGTATAAATAAAACATGTTATCAACGGTAAAATGACCACAAAAAAAAATCTTTCACGGAAAGAAACGTTCAGCTTAAACTATGTTCTAGAGAAAAAATGAATTTGCAAATTGTGCATTCTTTTTGTTTGGATGTAGCTGTTAGTCTTGTGTACTGTTTCGCTGTAGTTGCAAAAACACAGGAATTATATCATTTTGGATATGATTCATTAATAAAATTAAAATGCAGACTTGCAATTGTGTATGTCACTTTACAATTTATTATTCAATTATAT